CAGTAAAATATGATCATTTCAATTTTTGTTAACATCGTAAAATTGTATGAAAAATATAAATAAGAAAAATCACTTAAAAAGTTTGAAATTTCGAAGAAAAAATTATGAATAAATGAATAAACTAATAAATTAATAAATAAGTAGTTGAAAATAATAAAAAAAAAGTTTAAGTTGAAAAAAGTTTTTTCAAAAAATTTCAAATTTTTATGAAATGAATTGTAAATTTTGTTTCGTTGCTAAGTTACATCTTTTATTTAAATTTAATCCAAAAACTCTTAAAAACTGAATAATAACACTGAATGAACCGAATAAGGGTGAATTCAGAAAGCTTGTTGTTTAGTTTACAATGGTTGTCTTCAATGATGTATATTCCTAGAGTCGTAGTGGCTCAGGGGATAGAGCGTTCGCTTTCCAATGAAATGAACCGGATTCGAATCCTAGCAATAGCCGGTCGATAAGAGTTCCGCTCCCGGGTCTCACCGACCACAGTACTGACGTAAAATATCCTCAGTGGTAGACGAATCATGGGTTAGTCTACTTGCCGACAGGCTGCCCTTAGGAGTTCTTCGTGATTTTCCTCAACATGTAACGCAAATATGGGTTAGTTCCATCAAAAGTCCTCCACGAAGGCAAATTTCTCCCAATACTTGATCCAGGAGTTCCTTTGTCTTCTGTATTGGGGTCAAAATCACAAAGCTACGGAGTTGAACATTACTAGCCGTAAACCCTAAATTGTGTCTGCTGTTCAACGACGGTTATAAAATAAAATATGAGATGTATATTCCTACATGCAACTCTACAGTATGAAAATCGGCCAATTTTAATACTTTGCATAACGTAAATAAAACAAAACGTGTAGTGATTATCATAATCCCTGAAATGAATAAAGCTGTTATTCTCTGTAATAAAGTAATTTTAATTTAGACTTAAATTGTTAGTAATTTGGAAAAAAATTGCTATGCTGTTTACTCTTCAAAGTAATTTTAATTTAATCTTAATCAAGCGATTTGAAAAATGCCTGAATGACGGGTAATGTCATCAATGTAATGAATGAAGCTATTGACCAATTCTTATCAAAGTAATTTTAATTTAATCTTGAATTGTTTGTGATTTGAAAAATCTCTGTAACGAATAAAGTTGCAGAGTGCTACACGTTATCATGAAAGTTATATTAGTCTAAAATTATTTAGTGAGTTGAAAATTCTCAGCTATGACTAAAGCTGTTGTTCATTTCCTTATCAAATTAATTTCAATTTAATCTCAAAATGTAAGCTTTTTGAAAAATATTTGAGATTAATAAAGCTGATGGCTTCTTTTACTATTAGTAAAGTAATTTTAATTTAGTTTCAAATTCTTATGCAATTATTACATTGAATTCAGTTAAATGTGATACAACTGCCCACGGAAACGTGAATATGACATTAGAGGACGCAAACCAAAGCCTCCTAGAGAAGTGGCAACAAGCCGTAATGTTTACATTCTCTAGGAGGCTTTGCGCAAACCCCCCATAGTTGGTTTGACCTTTTGCAATCCTCATGCGTACGAAGGGGGATTGTAGTGTGACGGTGAAGACCTTTAGAGGACGAATCTCCTGACTGCCAGTAGATATCCTACGTCACCTCATGACGTCACCAAAGACGGTTCCAATAGTAAGATGGAGCCGAACTCTTAACTAGTACAATAACATATACTCTATTCCAAATAAAAACAATATTTGGATATAATATCAGTAAAAATAGCAAACTTATATTTTTTACGTGGGAGAATGTTGGTAACTGACCAACAGGATAGGGCAAGTTACCGCCACCGGTCGCAGGGCGACTAAATATTAAAAATGGCGTTTAAAAATTTGTTTGTTAATTACCACCCAATCACCATTTTATACGCTTGAAATACACTCCATGTTCTCCAAAACATGTGCTTTCAAATTCTCGTATTATTTATTGCACGGGAAAAACTATTGAATGATTATAAAGTTCAAGTTGTTTAACTCTGGTTCAAAATTTCAAATTTTATTGAATTTAGGTACCAAAGTTTTCATTAATATATATTTANATCGTATATATATATATATATTATTGTTATCATTTAAGGCACATAATTTTTAAAAGTTATGTAATTCATGTCATTGTGATAGCAATTATTTCAGATTTATTTTGTAACGAATAAATTTTATGTTTGTTGGCTAAATGCAAATTTTATGTAGCATTATTGGTTCAAGAACCCTACATTTTATTAGTTGGAAGCGTTATATAAAAAATGCTTAAAATTTTTATAAACCTACTTGGAAAGACCAGGAAAATTTTTTGAGTGTTTACCCATATTTTGATAATTGCTTCAAATGAAATACTTTGCATTTATAATAGCAATAGTTCTTTTTTTAAAATAGTTTAGAATTTTCAATTTTGAAAAAGTGGCTACGTGTTTTTAAAAGTGTCCAATATTAAAAATGCTATATCAGCCACGTTTTAAGGGATATAAAATCTTTTAAAAGATATAAAATCTTGCATTCATTATAATTGCGACTAATTAGAACCAAAAGAAAAATCTAAAAAAAAAAAAAGGGAAAAAAAAAAAAAAAAAAAANTTAAAAAAAAAAAAAAAGAGAGAGAGAGCGAATTGTTAAAGGCTGCTAGATTGTAAATTAGCCTGGCCACAGGTCAGTAACAAAATTTCCTAATCTTACTCTATGCTACACGGGAAATAGTATAAAAAAAAGTGTAATTACTCATTCCAGTAAGAGACTTAAATAGCAATGAACAGTACAATGTTTAAGTTTTAAATTTTAGCATGAAAGAAATAGTTATTTCGTATTAAAAAGGAGTCTACAATTTTTATATTTTAAGCATAAATTTATTATTTTTCATTTATTACGCTGTAATGTTTCATAGAAATATGTGAAAGCGTAAAAAAGAAGGTTATAAGACCCCCAAATAAATATTCCTTTCCTTTTATTATAAATAATTCATACACCTTAGTACATATTCATAAGTTAAGAGGCTCCCCCATCCATCAGCAGCCCTGAAGCACTGAATTCATTTGTTAAATAGGCACTATTTATACTTTATAAAGAGTGCCATTAAACAGTTACTTTTATAATAATGTAACAAATGTGAATATAGTATTTTAATGAAACGTTAGGGAAAAAAATGTTTCTGATAATTTATATTAACGTTAAATAAATAACAGGATATTATCTAAAACAGCTACTCCCAAGTGTGGAACCCTAAATGATCGACATTCTTTCGACGGAACCCCTAGACTTAATGAATAAATTTAATTAGAAACTGTGAACATATTAATTAACGAAAGACTATCAATTATTTTAAAAATATTTAATGATTGTAATTTCATTAGTTATTTTGAACATATTTAGTGAATGAATGCAGAATGAAATTTTTTCATCATATCGTTTTGTAAATATTAGTTTTAAAATTTAGTTTTACGTCAGACAGTTGAATTTATGGGTCTAAAGCAGCATCGATAGTCTAGCTGTTAATTAGATTTTATTACACGCATAAACTAAATAATGTATGATATGGTGTACATTAAAATAAAAACGATTAAAGAAGAAAGTAAACGCTGAGAACGGTTATCAAAGAAACATACTTCTTCAAAAATATACAAATTTCATTATATTGTTAATAGAAAAAAATTATTAATAGAATCATTATATTGTTAATAGAATTTCTTCACAAGTATTTCAATTAAATAATTTCATAAAATTAACGGAAATATTAAATAAATAATGGATTATGCAATTAACGGAAATATTAAATAAATAATGGATTTTTAATTAGGTATAAATTTGATTACGTGTTTCCAAAATCATAACATGTTAAAAAAAAATCATATTTCTCGAAACCCCTTATGACCCTTCCGCTTAAAAATTACTATTACTGTCAAATTTTTTGATCCATAATATATATTTAATAATTTAACGTTATGAAATACAGTATGAATCATTTCTTTTTCTGCATTAAAGTAAAATCTTCTAAATACGGCTCTTTTTCCAACAACACTTTTTCAATTTTTCAGTTATTTAAATATAAGAGAGCCATGGAATTAACAAGCGTTTTAGGAATGTCAGGATTTATAGTTTTCTAATAAGAACAAAATTGAACTTTTGGAGTTTTTTTTTCCCTCGTTTTTTTTTATATACTTAATCCCATGCAAGGACTCTCGCAGAAATTTTCTCCAGGGGGTGCAACTAGGAAAAATATTAATTGAAATATTTTAAAAATCTTGTGTAATTTTTTTTATCTGATAAATAATTTTACATGTTGGCATCAGAAATTTTCGCTAACAATTTCAATAACTGAATTAAAACTTACAAGTTTTTTTTTTTATTAAAAAATTACAGTTTTAACTATATTTAAATTTTATAACAGAACAACTTATTCCATTTAAATATGTTATTAAGTTAATTAAATATTTTTATAAGCACAACAAAAAAAAGAAAAACAGTGAGTATAGTGTCCGATATATATATTCGTCTGCACCTATTTTATGAATAGGAGTAGATTTAATATGACACGCAACAAGTTACAATTTCTAAATAAAAGCGATTAAAACCGAACTATAATTTTTACTGCAAACTATAAATTTTTATTTTTTGGATTTCCTTGGGGTGCAAAATGTACGTTCTTGACTTCCTTGCAGACGATGATTAATTCCTTCTAATGATTTCGCAACTATTACAAAACGTTTGAAAACATAAATTAACCAGCGTTTAGATGACAAAGAAGAAAAGCGTTCTATTAATGATATTTATTTAATTATGTGACAACCGATTAAGAAATAATGTGCCCAAAAACTCATCCTTCCTGGCAGAATAAACCCGATAATGCAATATGATTGATATTCCATATCTATTAATGTTATCAATAGTGGGAAAATTCCGGCATGTCTAAAAATATCTCTCCAGTCTGTCTTCGCATTCCCGTAAAAATTTGTCACTGTAGTGTAATCTTTACTGTGCTTCCGCCACCCCCCCCAAAGCAAGTGGGACAACACAGAGTGCTGTAAAGACTTGTTTTCTTACCATCCAATCAGAGTGCGAGTTAGGAAAAGGATTGGGAATGACTGATGTGATAGTGAAAGCATCTTTCATCCCTTCCCCAGAACAGTTGTATAGATAGGTTTGTGTTGGTGTCAGGTGGTTGCTCGAAGGATTTTGTTTATTGTTGTTGTCCCCAAGAAACTCCGATTTCGGATGAAAGGTACGATTTTGTTAATTTTTGTTTTTTAAAGTTTTAATCTAGTGAAAATTGCGTGGAAGTTATCGTTTCGGCTTAGTTTTACAAGAACTTTTTAACTTATATTTATTTTGGGATTAGTTAATTTTTTAATTACGATTTGGTACGAAAAAAGGTGCGATTTCGTTAATATTTTATATTTATCTCTACTGAAGGGTGCTTGGTATTTATTGTATTGGCTTGGTTAATTATTAGGGACTAAATAGTTCTACAAGGAGTTTATTAGCTTTATTTATTTTGGGATTATTATTTTTTTTTAAAATTAAGTTTTGGGGCGAAAAAAGTTATTATTTTGTTCATTTTTTAAAAATTTGTTGCTAGTGAAATGTGTTTGGTACTTATTATATTCGCTTGGTTAAATATTAGGGTTTAATTAATATCATTAGGGGTTTATTTCTTGCATTTATTAGTTTAGATTAGTTTTATAGTTAGTTTTTTTTTTAAAAATTATGTATTAAAACTTATATTGTTTTGAACGAAATATAATTCATTTATGAGGACAGTCTAAATATTATATTTTATGCAAATAAAAATCATTAATGTTAATATCTACGCATATATACACACATATATGCATGTAGTTATTGCTTTATTAATGTTTGGATATTTTTTTATTTTGTAGAGTTGTAATTTTTTGAATGAAACAATAGTTTTGGTGCTTAAAGTAAAAATTGATTCATTTTAATATATATACTTGCTTACTGCTATTTTTAAATTGTGCATTAAACGAAACGTAAATATAATTAAATATATCCTACAGTGAAGTGCACTCCATAGGAGATGTTATGCGATTAGGAAATAGCAAATTAAGTACGTAATTATAGATTAATATTTAACGTTAAATTTATTATTTAAGCATTGTTTAGTAAATATTAAAGAGTTGTAATTTATGTCACTATAATTTCATTTAAATTACTCCATTTAGATTACAATCGTACTCAATTTTATGGATGGTACGTACGCTTTTTATTTTCGACTCCATGCATTTTGCTTATGTATATATAATGCGCTATTGTGTTTTAAAAATTGAAAAGCGACTGACCAATCACTATATGTTAACAAAATTTTTATTTTTTGTTCTGACAATTCTAAGTACGTATTATAAAAATATGTTCCTAGTCCGGTACAGAGATGCTCCTCTTTCTACCATGAGTGTAAGAACAAAATGATGGAAGATATTACTTCAGGCAATTTTTTTCTGAAAAGTCTTGCTTCAATGTCATTCTCTGTTTAAGTTAAGGATATTATAAAGTTCAACGTGAGCACGTGGTCAGTCAGAGCTTTAAAATCGTATTTCAGAACCTTTGTAAAATTAGCTAATTTTATTTTCCTTAAGACTGAAGGAGTACTCAAATTCCCCCCCCCCCCTCTGTTGGGGGATGTCTGAACTTAGTGATCGTTTTTTCATGTTTTATAGCTCCCTTAAAAAAATTTTAGAATTTTTTTTTTTGTACATTTCAGACATTAGATTTTTTAGAAAATCGTAAATGGTCCCTGATAACGAGAAGACTAGTGATTTATGCAATTTTAATTTTAAACATCCCAGAATTTCTAATCTCTTCTTTTTTTAAATTGTTATTTCATTTTAAGTTGTATATTTCGTTTCTGTCTCTCCCCCCCCCCAAAAAAAAAGAATAATTCTTTCCAAATATTTTGTTACATTTCTTAAATTTTTGTTTCTTTTATACAATGTAACACTGATAAGTTTTTTGCAGGCACGGAGCATTCCTAGTGGATGTTCAATTTTTGATTTGTATGATTTGCGTGCAGTTTTATTAAGTTTTAATTTAACGCTTAAAAATATGCAATTTAGCAATTACATATTTTTTTGTTACACATTCAGAATATTATCTCGTAAAGGGTTTTATCTTTTTTCCCCTTCCTTTTTATGTGAATACTTTATTTTCACAACTTCGGGGTGCCTATCATATACATTTATGTGAATACATTTTGTGTGAAATTTAGTGTCCAGAATTGTGTTCGGTTTTGTGATCTTGTGTTGTGTATCACATCACTTTTTTAAAAAAAATTGAATTTGGGGGAACCTAAATGCATTCGACTTTCGTGCCTCAAACTATGTGTGATCCAGTCAAGAACAATTATGGCCTGTAATTGTAATTTAACATTTTCAAGCAACAGAGGGGTGTTTGTGGAATGTATCACCGGGCTATCTGTTTTGAGTTTTTCTACTACGTTTGAGTTTGATAGACACCTTGATCACAGCTGTTCTCTGTGTGAGGTCTGACGCTTCGTTATCTTTGGTATATCAGAACATTTCACCATTTTTCCCTACGTGGGAAAGATTCCACCGTTACACTTCATGTGTGTCAAAGTTAAGAATAAAATTTTGTTTATTTGTTAATCTGTTTCTATCCAGTTAAGAAGTTATTGGGTTCTTAAATGATAACAGTTATAATCGTTCTCTATGATTTGCAATGGATTACGCTAACTCTTCGATTGATGTTCATAGAAATGCTTTTTGGGTGACGTTTTGCACCACTCGGACTACCACTGACTACTGCAATAATAATTTTTAAAAAAAATTGGAAAAATGTAATTTATTATGAAATTTATATATATAAAAAAAATTCATATTTTAATCACATTTTTATGGGATTGTATTCGAAAATTTTCTTATGGTAAAAATTTTTTTTACACCCTTTAAGTTTTTCTTTAGCGATATTTAAATTTTTAAGACTTAAAACTTCAATATTAAATTTTTTGGAATGTATTAGTTTATTCCTTGTATAATATTTTGCTCCAGCGAAATATTTATTTGTTGAAAAAAGAATTTTCATAAAGAAAAAATAATGGCAATTGATTTAAGTTTTTAGTGTCCTAGTGGTTTTAAGGAATGTTCTCTTTCACAGGGTGGATCAAAGATATAAATCAAAGATCTGGATTAATTTTGCACGTTATTATCCTAATAATAGTTGATAGACGAAAGCAATTATGCTTCTTAATAATTGCTTTCTAATTTGATCATTGCTTACTAAACTTTAAGTCTTAGTATAGAGATTTCTACACGTAGCATTTTTACGTGATAATTGATTTTACATTTATTACTTATGCAACACCATTTTTGTTGCGCTTTGGTTTACAAATCTTCAATTTTACCGAATTCCAGATTTTTCTCGGAGCATGTCTACTAAAGAAACATAACAATAAGACTACTTCGTTTTAAATAATCACGAGTCTCAGTAAAATAAATTATACATCTTTTTCAGGTTCGTACACTAAGATCGCTGATTTATTTTATTCATAGTTAGCTTTTAAAGTTATAAAGTTCTGTTGAAAAATTGAAAGATGAGTTTTTGGTAGATCCATCAAATTCATTTCTAATTTAATCTTATCGGGATTTGATTTGTGATCCTCTTGTATAAATGATATGTTATTTTGGAACAGTTCCAAAACTATAGCCGTTACTTCGAATAGCGCCTACTCCTAATTTTTGATGGGAAATAAATTTATTCGCTACGACCTTCAAGTGACTTCAAAAGCCACCGGCTGAAAGTCCGGACGGATACCTGGTCGTTGCTATGGTAACTTGAAGAAGGCGTGAACACAAACCAGGACATCACGAAACGGGAGGATGGAACGGCGGAAAGTCGTTTCGCACGATGAGGAAAAATATTCTCTTTTCCCCTACACAAAGATGGAGGAAATTTTTAGTACATGCGATTTTTCATCATGGCGTATTTTAGCATCTTATAGAATTAAAACTTTTCAGTGCATACAATTCTAACCGGAGAGCACAACGATTTATTTCAGATAGCGTTTAAAACTTAATCAATATTTCTGAACATTTTTAACTCATTACTTTCAATGCTAAAAATTAATAATTTAATTTTGAGAATGAAATTTTTTAAGATTGATTTAATTTGTATTTTTGAATGGATACAAAATGATTTTAAAAATCGTTTCAATTGTTTTTAAGATCGTTTGACTTAGAATCAAAATTTGCGATCCTTTTAACGTAATGATCGTTTTCTATAACGAAGTTTTTTCTTTTTATAGTTTTTTTTTTCAGCTTCGCGAAAAATTAAAATATCGTTCGATTATTTCTCCTAAACTATGTCTTTAATTCTTTTTTAAGTGTGGCGAAATTGTAGTGGATTTTATTTCCATATGATCAACTGTGAAATAAATGCTGTATTTTCCGTAAAAGTGGTATCGTCTGATAAGACAAAGCGCAAAATCTAATCTTTTTCAGGGAATCGTTTTCTTTGTTAGCAATGATGTGTTCCGTTTATATTCTGTTCCACATTAAACTAATATTATTATAACAAACGACCGACAGCATCTCTTTTCAAAGTAAGAGAGATAAGATAATATTGTCATTATCTTTTGTGTTATTTCTCTTTTTTCATTGCAATCATTTGTTTAAAATTTGTGATGCCGTTATTTCATACGTAGCATCGTTGTGATGATCTTGCAATAGTTTGCTGATTTTTTATGAATAACCATTCGAACAATTACTATTATTAATACGATAGTGTTTGTGATAAGTTTTCTAAAACAATCAAAATTAGTTTATCTTTTTTCCCCTCCGTTATTTTGCTCACATTCGAAATTCTTTCGCCATAGTGTTTCATGTTGTTATTTAAATTTTAAAGTGTAATTAGAACAATCGATGTTTTTGTTAACATTGTGAGTAATTTTTACTATCCCTTTTTCTCAATATAAAAAATCAACATGTTTTCTAATTTTTGTAGTAAAAGCATTGATATCTAGAAACGCAATTTTGCTATCTTTTTAGCTTATGCAACTTATACGTATTTTTATCATCCTGGGAATTTCTTTTTAGTAATACCTCAGCTGCCGAAATTCTTAAATAGTTCTATTTTAGTGTTTTTAAATAGTTTTTTTTTACATACTGGACCAATAAGAATTGTTCTTCTAACTTTGATACGCAATGGCTCCTAGCCTCTGTGCGTACATAATATTTGTCTGCGTGATTACTC